CTCCTGCTGCTGCTGCTCCTGCTCCTCCTCCTCCTCCTCCTTCTCTTCCTCCTGCTCCTCCTCCTCCTCCTCCTCCTCCTCTTCCCGCTATTCGCCCTCCTCGTGAGGGCTGCGCCTCGCCGTCTTCGTCGTCGTGGTCGCCGTCGTTGTCCTCCTTCTCCTCGCCCTCCTCTCTCCGCAGGCCTCTTGTGCTGAAACCCTCGGACCAGGTGGAGGCGAAGGACCGCCTCTCGTTCTGGCTGGGGAGGGGGATGAGGATGAGGATGAAGATGAGGATGAGGACGAGGATGATGATGATGATGATGATGATGATGAGGAGGAGGAGGAGGAGCAGGAGCTGGGAGGAGGAGGAGGAGGAGGAGGAGGAGGAGGAGGAGGAGGAGGGAGGAGGACGAGGACGAGGAGGAGGAGGACGAGGAGGATGAGGAGGGGGAGGAGGAGGGGGCGGAGGAGCACCCGTGTAAGCCCAAGACTCATCAACGATGTTGGGATACACCCTTCCTCCAAGCTGACTCTTCATAGGCTCCATATAAACATACACTTCAACAGAGGGAATTGCCCCGTTGGGAGACAACCATGTGAAAATCCTGAAGCGTACCAGCACACTTTTTTGAGGTCTTAGAGTTCACGAGTCAACCTGACTGTTGCATCTTGACGATCTGGAATCGTGTCAGAACACCATTCCTGGGACATCAACACAGCGAATCTACGTAACTGTTGCGCCCAAACAGTCCTGAATCGTTTGTAGACACTGTTTCTGGAAGGTTAGCTACGAGAATCCGCGAAACCCGTGTAATTATTCAAAACGAATGTGCGCGGCGCTCAGGCGAGAGCCACATTTTGAGAACGAGCCGCCCTCAATCCGTGAATCTCTTGTAGTTTTTAAGCTGAGGTGCGTGGCGCTGAGGCGAGAGCCACATTTTGAAAACGACCCGCCCTCAATCCGTAAAGCTCTTGCGACCTTTCACAGATGAGTGTGCGGCGCTAAGGCGAGAGGCACATTTTGAAAACGAGCCGCCCTTAGTCCGTTAAAACCTTGCGATTTTTTAGGCAAATGTGCGCGGCACGAAGGCAAGAGCCAATCTTGAAAACCACCCGCCCTTGATCTGGGAAACCGTTCCTAGTTTCGTGGCTTCTGGGATATACATGGTAAGGACGTCTCACGCAAAACGCCCGGCCCGCCTTGTCGACCGGCCTCAGCGTGCGCCAGGGATGAGTTATTTATAAGTGAAAGGAACGGATCGTATATTGATGATGGTGATGATGATGAAGATGGAGATGATGAAGATGATGATGAGGGTGATGATGAGGATGATGCTGATGATGCGGCTGCTCATCATGATGATGATGATGATGATGATGATGATGATGATGATGATGATGATGATGATGATGATGATGATGATGGTGATGCTGCTGATGATGATGAGGATGAGGAGGAGGAGAAGGTCGAGTAGGAGGAGCAGGAAGAGGAGGAGGAGGAGGAGGAGGAGGAGGAGCCTGCTGGCGGCGTTATCCTTGGCTCTTTCGGGGTCAGGGGCCCCTTCCCCCCCCCCCGCAGGCGCTTGGTTGGCAATAAACTTCGGCTTCTCCCTGGGGCTCGTGGGCAGCCATCGTTCTCAGGTCTGGCCCCCCCTAGATCTCCATGGGGCTCAACCGCTAGAGTGGTCCATCTCACAAGGAACATGGATACGGCAACGACTCGACCGATTCAACGACATCGATAGGTGGCTCCGACTCCCCTACGTCGGTACAACGCCCCTCTGGACCCATCATATGCACATGCTACTGGCATGGATTGTAAGATCCACAACCCAGCAAGAGATACCAGGAGACGAGGGCAGCAAAGTTTGGTTATCTTGCTTATCTGCTGTCTGTGCTCCCTCCCCTGGAGCCCCATGTCTAATCACTGATGCATTC